TTTTTTTTATTGTATTTTTGACACAGGATCTTTGACACCTCTCCATTGACAGTTAAACACATGTAATACATTAATAAAGAACACAGACTCTTAAAGTTGATCCATTTATTTTTATTTTCACTAGCTTATATCATGCAGATGAATGCAGAGAAATGAAGACAAATCACAAAATGGTTAACAAACAAGGAAAACAGTTTGTTCTTCAGTCACTTTCTTGAAATGGCACTTCATGAGACAACACACTGTTCCCACACTTCAGTATTTCATTAGTGAAATAATGACATGAGTGTGTTTGCAGGTGATTAACACAAAGGTGGTGGGGCCCAAGGTGCTTTGTGGACTTGATTAATGGACTGGTGTAAAGGTAAATTATAGTAAATCAATGAAAAACACAGATTCTTGTTTCAGGCAGTGTAGCATTTTCAGTTTCATAGTTTTATTTGCTCAAAAGCAAATGAGAGGAATTCAATAAATTAGACATAATACTTTGAAAGGTACTTTGACTTCACTTTCAAAATACCCCACACACCTAACAATCCACATATAAAGACTGGGATTTCTGTGATGCTTTTTTTTTTTTTTTTTTTTTTAATTTTCCCTCCAGTTACCATTTTCTTTCTCTATTATTATTGTTATTATTTTTTTTTTTTTGTCAAAGCTTACAAAGTGCGGACATGCATTAACACTTATAGCTTTTCTTTCCATTTGGGAAATAGGTCATTTTTAACACTAACAAAATCTACTGAATCCTCTAAAGATGCTCTGCTCTCCCATCTATGTTTCCAGGACTGATACACAGTTAGAGCTACAGTAACGGACACACAAAGATCTCCCAACAGATGCAATGATCGGCTGTCCTCCACCAGAGAAGTAAAACAAGCGCACAGATACAGTACACCTCAATAAGTGTGTGACCCGTAGGTCTGAGGCCAGTACTCTGCATTTAAGTGCATGGATGCCTCCTTAGTTCCTAAGCCTTTTGTAAAACACAGCTGCAACACAAAGGGCAACAAGGGAAACAAAGGCAAGGATGCCAACAGCCACACCGAGCCCGACAGCAGAGTCGTTGTCTTCTCCGGCAGTAAGGGGCTTCTCTTTGGATTCGTTGGTGTCGGTTTTGGTGACGATCTCCGAAGAGCTGATGGTGTAGGTTTGGGCTATACCATCAGCAGATGTGTCCAGGGGGCTCCTCTTCCTTCTGTTGTTGCACTGCTTGAATGTGCTGCAGGTGCTTTTCTCACACAGCCGGGTGATGCAGTGGAGGTAGTAGGTGGACACGGTCTCGTTCTGCTGCTCGATGAAGCGGAAGGCGGGGAAGTAGAAGCGGGCGCTCTGGCTGTCTCCGTTCTCAATCATGGTGGTGAACTGATCCTTTGAGCAGGGGACGAACAGGTTGAAGAAGCTGGAGTTAGAGGGCAGTGGGGAGATGGAGGCGTAGCACCGGTCCAGCAGGACGTGGTACTGCCCTGTCAAGTTGGTGGCCTTGACCTCAACGTACACGCTGGTCCTCAGTTCAATCCCAAGCTGTGGCATGACCAGCGGTCGGGTGTAGTTGGAGTCAGCGAACAGCTCCATGCTCAAGGTGCTGATGAAACTACCATTGTTGTCCTTGATTGCAATGGATGAAGCAGACACATCGACCTGGGTGTTGTTGATCAGATACTCTAGGGGATAGGCACAGGAGTAGTAGTACTTTAGCTCAGCGTTGTAAGTGATCGTGCCTGTTGTCGGATCGATAGACCTAACAACACCACTGATGTTGACCGTCTGGATGTTGGAGAAGTCAGAGAAGATACCGGTCCCAGCAGCACTGGTGGTCCTGAATATGCTTCCACAGGCATGGGTCATATTTAGTGGGAAGTTAAAGCGGGCAACAGGTGGATTCACAGACTCATCAAGGGTTGCTCTACAGGTCGGTTCCAACATGTGGTTCAGGATCAGCAGAGTCTCATTGTAGCCAGTGTAGATGACGGGGCAGATTTGAATTGCCAAACCAATGGATGAAGTGCCGCACTGCACTGCGATGTCGCTAACCTGCGGCCGTCTTGCTTCTGATCCACAGTCGTTTAACACTAGCTGACTACTTCTGCCTATCACGGAGAGTAAAAGTAAAAAAATCTTCATTGTTCTTCTTCAGCTTTGCTATGGATTTGTTTATCTCTCTGCTGAAATCTTGACTCTGCTGCTGAGGGCTGGTAGATCTTCTCTGTCTGTTTGAAGTCTTGGGGCTGTATTCGGGGGTCTTTATAGGTAAGTGTGTCCTCTGGGATTGGTCCAAAACAAGGTCAAGCACCTTGCTATTTGTGAACAACTGCATTGTATTAGGTAGGAGAGCTTCAGTCTGGACCATATCCTAAGGGCAACAACTGAAACCTGAAGCATCTTGCTGTCTTGACTTTTACAAAGACAATGGCCTTGCTCCTTTGTTGAGAATGCTTTAAAATATAGATTTCCCTGACCTCTATTGCTAAGCCTTCATGAAGTAAGTGAACATAACACTGCATGAGGTGAATTTCTGAATAACATACAATGCTGCAAAGGTTCTTCTATCCGGTTTGAGCCCTGGTAGCTTCAGCAATGACCTAATTTGGCTCCAACAAAGCAGGAACCAAAGGATGACTCAATCGGTGTGCTCCTTATTTATCAGGACATTAATCTGACTTCAATAATCAGTCCTTAACAACAATACTTGGTGGTTACTTGGTGGTCAGACTCAAAGAGATCGTGATGTGGGGTTTTTAGATTAATAAAGTGACAGAAGAAGAACTTTCTCAGCTCTTTCTAATCTTTTCTTTTTTGTTAAATTCTGGATCATGGCATCTTCCTCTACAAGTATAACTCACACTCTCGTTATTTTGAATTAAAAATACCGCAATTCTGGCAAAATACTGTGGGGAAGTTATCAAAATATTAATGTATACAGTAGAAGTTGTATCAACACTTTGTGTGGGAGTGGCCTCATATTAGTGCCCCATATGGGAGGCGCAGCAGCCTGTTATGTATCTACACAGCATTTATTGGTCCGCTTTTGTTGCCAGCATATATTCAGAGGCTGGTGATGAAAGGACAAGTTGATCCTGCAGTGTATTATAAAGGTAACTGAATCCAAGCAGGAGACAAAGATAGTAATTCTTAGGGGATCCTGACAGAGACCAGGCACTGCACTGAACTATAAACAATAAAATATAATATTTTAAACTTACATAAACAAACAAACCAGGCTAAGCCAAACTATAGAATCAACAGGATACTGATAGTTGTCTCAAATTCAAAGCATTACCAGCAAATGTATTTACATAAAAAACTTTTATTGTCACAAATTTGTATCACTGCCAGTATGAACAGTTACGTATGATGTGAAATATTCACTGGCGGGTATTTTTGCATTTTTGTGTTGTTTATTGGTCATGTCCCGCTGTGTAAAGGCCTTTATGGCCAATCCAGTAAACATGGGACAAAACATTACTCACTATGGCATAACTTGCACTGCTTAATGAAATATTTTATGTTAAGATGTTGGATGTATTGAAGGGAGTTTCCCATTGGACCAGCCAAGCACATACTATCTAAATACATATACATGATACTAAAGATACTTTAATGTAAAAGGCTTTGCCAATGAGCAAACTGTACCCTGTCCATTTTTTAATTCCCATTGTTGTCATTTTAAGCATGCAACACATGAAGGGTAGTAAACGCCAACATGCTTTTACATAGTGCTGTCATCCCACTACATTACACAGACCTATACATTAAAGTAGCCCAATGAAATTTATTTTTCAGTTTACAGATCCAGCATTACTTGAAAAAACAAAATAGGGAATTTTGTCAAGGATATGTGTCACTGCTAAGGCCCTTAGCAATGATGGCATTTGTAGAAAATCTAGCAACAGCAGTAGATAGGAAACAGCACACTGTAAGGATATATTTATTGATTTACAGAAAGAGTTTGACACAATCGATCATTCCTACTTCAGAAATGTGAATGCTATGGTATAAGAGGTGTTGCACAACTTTGGTTATGAAGTTATTAAAATAACAGGTGTCAGTATGTAAAAATGAATAATACAGAATCACATCTTAGAAGAGAAACCTGTGGTGTTCCACCAGGTTCTGTATTGGGACCTTAAATGATATTTATATGGTATCTAATATGTTAAAATTTGTAACATTTGGTGATGATACAAATGCATTTTGTTCAGGTAAGGACATGAAAGAGTTAATAAAAACAGGAGAAAGGGAACTGATCATGTTGAAAAAATGGTTTGCTTCTAAGTTCTCACAAAATGAAAATAAAACAAAATTTATGGAGTTTGGTGGTATTTGGCTAATTGTGAAATAAAGCTGAATTTAAATCATTCTGAAATTAAATGAGTATATAAAACACTTTTTGATTATAGATCATAGAATATGTTGGAAGCCACACATTGAACATATTAAACTGAAACTATCTAAATCTAATACTATAAAACAAGTTGTTAAATAAGTTTAAATTATGTTGCTCTCTGTTGAGTTTTAAAAACAAGCCTTAAAATGTAAAATGATTATGGATTCTAGAGTAAAATAATTGAGAATGATAATTTAGAGTATAATGTTTTTAATTATTAACTTATTTATTTCCTTTCTTTGGTATTGTTGCTATTGTGGGTTATCCTTTGGTTGACACAGGATCGGCAAAAGTAAGACTGGGGCTTCAGCTTATTCCTTTTTCAGTTATTGACTGTGAGAAATTCTGTGTGAAATAATCTTTGTTTCTCAAGATTTATGTAACCAAAATAAAAATTATTCATTTACTTACGTACAGACTGTTATCTGTGTTTCAGATTTGGGTCAGAGGTCAGTGATATAATAATGTGAAATGGTACAGTTGAAATGGAGAAGGCAAATAAAGCGTGGGTTTATTCTGGACACACAAAGAGACGGAGCCTGTCACTCACTGCTCGTTGCATGATGACCCAGTTTTCTTAATGTCAACGTGATAACAGGACACCTGCAGCCTTTTGTGTATGTACAGTAGAGGACATTGACTGAGGATATAATGCCGAAATGTTATAGAGCCTACTTTAGCAGCATTGATACTCTGTGTGTGTGTGTGTGTGTGTGTGTGTGTGTGTGTGTGTGTGTGTGTGTGTGTGTGTGTGGTTTGATATTGAGATGTTGACATTAGTGGAAAATCACTGTGTACATTTATTTAGGTCCAATTTTGAGGTCCAAATTCATTTTCATTCTCTCTGCTCCATATTGAACCTTCAATTTTAATGGCCATGTGTCCCACATTTTGTTGATTGACTTTTCCAACAAATGCTTTTTTTTTTTTCTTGAAGTATTCATGATCAAATAAAATTTCTGATTCAAAGTTTTTACTAAAATATACTAAGTAGTTATTTGAGCCTGCTTGAGGTAATTGTGTTTGGTTGTTTTTGTTCAAAAATAATTTTTATCATGACTGACTATTAGTGGGGCACTCACTAGCTCACCTGGTAGAGCAGGCACCTCATGTACAAAGGCTGTGTTTTTGATGCAGCCATGGGTTCAATTCCAACCCACCCCTAGTTCTTTGCTGCATGTCATTGCTTCTCTTACTCTTCCCCTTTCATGCTGTCATATCAAATAAAGGCAGAAAGCCCCCAAAAAATCTAAAAAATAAATGGAATAAATAAATAAGGTTAAAAACTAATTACAATTTAAAAAATGATTAAAAAAAAAAAAAAAAGAATTAAGTAATATTGTCGGTCATAACGAGAGACAAAAAAAAAAACATTCCGCTGATTTTCATTGTGGATGCTAACGTTGGTTCTCTGTCGGTATGTATTTCCTGTATAAGACAGTGATTGGCTTTCGTGTTAGTGATGTCCTTAATCTATCTTGCTTGGCGTTTGGATCTCAGATTTTAGGGAAGTGCACAGACGTCACTGTTGCCCTCAGTAAAGGAATGTGAAAACACCTCTTTAGTGACAAAGTCTGCACAGACACACAAGTCAGTATAGTCAAGGTCGGATATTTTAGGGGACATGAACATAAGAAAAACCCATTGGTTAGTAAAGAGGGACTTGAGGTATATTTTGTTGCGAATACCATTTCGCTAAAACCATTTGATTGTTTTCAGTGCTTTTGCTTTTACTTTAGTAAAATATCTGAATACTTTTTCCAGTACTGGATGGTGATATGTGTTTGACCTTTTATGACAATTCAGACAGAGGAAATAAAATCAAAATATAAATTAAGAAAAATAATAAAATAAAAAATGATAAATAAAAAATAAAATATAAAACAAACATATGTCTATAGACAGATGTCATAAACAAATAGCATCACAAAACAAATGTCAAATATATTGCACAATTAATCAAAATAATTACATTTGCAGTGATTATAAATTGTCATTTGAACTATATCTTAATTACATGAAATTTTCCTCTCTTCTGCTCTCTCTCTCTCACACACACACATACACTCACACACACACACGTCCTGTCAGTCCCCAGATCCCCTTGTTGTCCTTTTATTAATGACACCTCATGTCTGCGGTGACGACGTCAGGCAGGAAGTGAGAGGAAGGACGACTAACAGACTCTGTCAGAGCCCTGCTGTGAATTTATTGGGGTACGGTGGCTGGTGTTTGGTGGATGATGGGGTCACAGGGGTGGTGGGGGGGGGGTCACCTGCGCTCCTGCTCGCTCACCTCCGCTCCTGGCTGCGTGATTAATAGTCAGAGCCTCCGAATCAGCCGGAGGGTCTGCGGCGTTGAGGAGTCGCAGAGGCGGAAAGGAGAAAAACGAGGTGGGAATTGTGTTTGGAGGAAAAATACAACCCTCTGTCGCTCTTTTACTGCACAGGTCGTGACCAAATGGCGTTCTGTTATGATTGGGCCTTATGGGGTATTTTGTCTAGCAGCTAGCAGCAGCGAGGTGATGATAGCCTCTGAGACAGAGGAAGTGAAGTGGTATGACGCTCTATCAGCAAGACTGTATGAGAACACAAGCTGAGTGTTAATCCGCTGCTCTGACCGGAGCTTGTATTGTTTTTAATTGTGCTGTTACAGGATACAACTCAGACCTCACACACACACAGAGTCATCATCAGGGGTGGAAGACGTAATCAGATCTTCTGCTTCAGTGAAAAGAGCAATACTAAAGTGTGAAAATGTTCTGTTACAAGCAAAAGTCGCACAAACAAAATCTTCCAAAATGGACTTAAAGT